TTCTTACCTTGGTAGGTATCAAACTTTACTTTTCTCATTAGCACTATAAGCCTGATGACAACTCTCTCTGCTTTTCAGAGGTTTTTAGCCTTTTAGCTTCTGCCCTCAAATTTCAAAGCACTGAGATTATCTTGATGGGAAAACTGGCCTTGTCTTTGATGACCCTCAAGCTTCATGAAATGACCAAGATTCTGATAGTTTCTTTGTCCACCACCAGCAGCCCTGGTTCTCATCCTGCATTCAGAATAGGCGCACGCTACCAGTAAAAAGTGATTACAAACCAGTTCACCTCTTAAGTCTCCACTTTGTAGAATCTTAGCCTCTGTATTAGTTATTGTTTCAGTAGCTGATAGTTTTGACAATTTTACATTTATTTTTTAAAATATATTTTTATTGATTTCAGAGAGGAAGGTAGAGGGAGATAGAAACATCAGTGATGAGAATCATCTATCAGCTGCCTCCTACACACTCTGACAAGGGACTGAGCCCGCAACCCAGGCTCGTGCCCTTCACCAGAATCTAACCTGAGACTCTGCAGTCCACAGGCTGACACTCTATCCACTGAGCCAAACGGGCCATGGCCAATTTTACATTTTTATGTGACTTTGCTCAGTGTTCTTAGCCATGCTACCTAGAAACATAAGCTTTGCTATTCAAGTATTTTTAAAATAGTACATTAAAGCTAAATAAATTCAAATTCATTCACTTGTGCTATTTCCAAAAATTAACAATGCTATTCTTTTTTTAAAAATCCTCACCCAAGGATATGTTTTCATTGATTTGAGAGGAAGGGGGAGAGAGGTGAAACATCAATATGAGAAACGTCAATCGGCTGCCTCCCTTACACGCCTTGACCAGGGATTGAACCCAACACCTTTCAGTGTATGAGATTATGCTCCAACTAACTGAGCCACCTTGGTCATAGCACACAATGCTATTTTTTCATGCTGAAAAAAAACTTTCCTGAATTATGATCCTTAAAATTTAAAGGCAAAAAAGGACCATCTAGAATAGTACAGGCTGAAATGTATAAGCTTCCTTTATCTTGCAGTTATTTTAAGAACATTATTTTTTTTTACTAGATGATATATTCAGTATGACTGAAAACTCAAAAAGTATAAAAACGTATAATGAAAAGGCATTCTTCCACTCCTATCATACGGCCACCCAGTTTTTCTCCCTGCTGGAAGAATTGTTTCTCCTCCTAGGAATATTTTATACAAATACATATGTTTCTATTTTTTGGACAACAGTTTGCACACTACATATGCTATTCTACATCTTGTGTTTTTTTATTTAACTGTGTATCTGATAATTCTTTTCATATCTGTAAAGTGATTTTTTTAAAAAAAATACTTTATTGGTTTTTCACAGAGAGGAAGGGAGAGGGATAGAGAGCCAGAAACATCAATGAGAGAGAAACATCAATCAGCTGCCTCCTGCACACTCCCCACTGGGGATGCGCCCGCAACCAAGGCACATGCCCCTGACCGGAACCGAACCTGGGACCCTTCAGTCCACAGGCTGACACTCCATCCACTGAGCCAAACCGGTTAGGGCTGTAAAGTGATTTTTTTAATGGCTATATAGTCCTCCACTATACCATCTTTTACTCAGGGTCCATTGATGCAACATTACAGTGGTTTCTAAGTTTTGTATATGTCATTCTACACACATGTGAAGACAGCTTTCAGAAATCCCTAGAGACAGAATTGCCAAGTTTACCTCCAAAGGATTTAAATTTTTCCATTCATACCAACCAACATGTAAGAGTGCCTATTTCCCTATAACAAGCATGTCAAACTCATGGCCCGTGGGCCACATGCAGTCCACGAGTATTTTTGTGGCCCAGCCAATATAACAGTATGTAAGAAATGTTTTAATAAAAAATTCGTAACTTTTTACAATATCCTGTTATAATTATTAATAACGAACTACAATGTTCACTAATGACTGATTACTATAATCATGTTGCATTCATTTCCCTTACACACCTTACGTGCAGGCGCACCATTTCCCTCCACTAATACCAGCAGTGAATACTTTAGCAGCCGATTGCCACATCATTAGTCTTGGACTGACTTGCTTGGTGTGAGCAACAGGAAGTATTTTGCTTTTGGAGAACAAAAGAAATAGGTTTATTTGTGTTACGCTTATTAATTTGTACAGTTATTCAGTGTCTGGTAAGTTAATATTCAAGAAAAACTATTAAATTTTATTAAAATGTTCTATTATTTTATGTTAACTATTATTCATGTCAGCCCTTTGTATTCAGCATATCTCTATCGAAATAAACCTACATTTCTATGAAAATTGAAGCTTTTGTTTATTCTGTGGCCCATATAAACTTAAACCTCGTTTATTTGGCCCGTATTAGCCTTTTGAGTTTGACGTGCTTGTCCTACACTCTTGCTAAGACTTTTAAAAACCTTACACAAAATCAAAACAAAACAAAGCAAAACAGCACCTTTATCTCTACTAATCTGAAGAGTGAAAAAATGTATGAGTAAAGTGTAAATGATATCATGCACCTTTTCACATATTTAAGAAACATTTCCTTTCCTGGGAACTATGTTCATGGGGATCAAACTTCTCTAACCTTCCTTTTGGGGTAGTAGTCTTTTTCTTAATTTATTGACAGACACTTTATATAAAGGAAATTATATAAATTATATAAATTTCACTTTGTAATGAAGTGCATCTATTTTTCCCCCAGTCTGCCATGTCTTCCAATTTTCATTAATGGTAGTTTTTGTAAAATATACATAATAATCCATTTTTATTTTTAATATTTAATTTTTCTGATTCTCAACTTCTGCAGTTTTAGTACTCCCTGAGAAATTAAAGGCTCTCATATCCCTTCCACAAAAGAGGAAAAAGTAGCAATACATTCTAATGACTGACACAAAACATTTGTTAGTTTCTAACAAAAAGGCACGTACATAGGACTATCATTAAGATTAATAGAGAAGTTTAAATTTATCTTAAGACTAACTTTAGTCAGGAAGACTTCTTCACAGACAAGTGGTTAAATATATAAATCCTATGTACATCACAGTATTACCCTCCCCCCCCCTTTTTGGTCATGGAAGATTTAATTATATAACTTTTCATTTTTGAAGATACAAAGTCTTCCCTAAAATGTAAAGTGAAAAATATCAGGGCCAGGTGGAGGGGGGAAAAGCAGGGGAAATGGAAGACATCCATAATACTGTCAACAACAACAACAACAAAAAGACAAAACGCCACTGGTGTGGCTCAGTGGATGAATGTTAACCTACAAACCAGGAGGTCACGGTTCGATTCCCGGTCAAGGAACATGCCTGGGTTTCAGACTCAATCCCCAGTAGGAGGTGTGCAGGAAGCAACCGATCAATGATTCTCTCTCATCATTGATGTTTCTACTTCTCTCATTCTCCCTCTCTGAAATCAATAAAAATCTATCTTTTAAAAAAGACAGAAAAATATCAGTTTGATAAATAAATTTTAGTATATTTTTGACAAATTTTGTTAGTTTCTGACTACATTTCAGCACAATCATTACACAGAAGGCAATCATTTTTTTTTTTTTAGAAAGGGCAAAGTAAATTTTAAATCAGCATCATAATTCTATCCCTAATTATCTACCCCAAAATACAAAAATGTATAAAAATATTAACAAATTAAAGCTAGACTTTTGCTCTAGGACATTTTATTATATTTTTACCTTAAAAGGATGAATAACTAAACATCATCAGAAATGCTATTAAAACTTGTTCATTTGCTCAAAGTTGTTCATATTAATGAAACATAGATTAACATTCTCTAACTTTCACAAAATGGAATCACTGCCTCTGATTTAACTTTGAGAGGGCCAATCCAAGTACCACACTATTTCTGTCCATAAACACAAATAAAAATCACTACCAATGCAAATAAGAAAATAAACACATGGTTATTAATGTCTCAGGTCCTACAACACAGTATATTAGGATTTAACTCTCCTACAGTAAATTCCCATTTTTTCCCCCAGAGTAGCAGATTAATAGAAATGTGAATTTCCAAAATTTCAGGTAATGTAGTAACTAATTATTTTAACACCAGTTACTATCATGTAACAGGCTGTAAAACCCAAATGTTTTCTGTGTCATTTAGCAAAGAATAAGGAAGAATGCTCTGCTACTCCATCCTGGACCCAGTTTCTGATCACCCACTCAGATTCAATGCATCCAAACTATCAGTTCACTCTATTCAGCCTCACCCCAACTAACTCCCTTTGCATCAAGAGATGAGTTTCCGCCCTGACTGTTGTTCTCGGTGGTTAGAGTCGGCCTGGGCCACGCAGGGTCTTGGATTCGATTCCTGATTGAGGGCATGTTTGATAATCCTAATTTTCCAGAAAACTCTGACTTTTCTGTTTTCACACAATTTTAATCCATTTTAAATAAAAGAAAATGCTATAATGCTTAAAATAATTATAAAGATTAGATTACTTTAGTGTTATGGAAGATTTCAATTGATCTACAAATACATGGAAAAACAGCAATAAACTTAGATTTTAAACCCGATTCCTTAACTATTTGGTATAGTATAGTCTTGCTTTGATCACTAGTCAGAACAAAAAGGTGAGCAAAGGCCATTCATAAAACATGCATTTTTGAGGAAAGAGAATGGCACCTGAAGGTTTCTTGGGAGCTGGCCCAGGCATGTTTATATCTATTACCTGTAAGGTTGTCAAACTTAGTATATCACTTATTCAAAAAGAATTGAGACTCTTGGTTATCACTGACTTTGGCAGAAGTACATTTGTATATTCCTCCCTTGTAATCACATAGTCATTCAATTAGAGGCAATGAGTGTGCCCACAAGCAGAAAAAGTTTTATAAACATTCTATGATAAAAAAGAGAGCATCACAATCCAGCTTTACCAGTTTCTAAAATACTTCTTCCTTTACCCACCCATTACTCTGTGTATCTCTGAAACATCTGAAAAATACTTTTCTGTGACTTACTAGGCTGTAGGGAACAAACACTTTTAGATACATTACAATGATCTCTAGCAGAATTTGGCATCTTTCTTCCATTAACTGAATGTCTCAACTGGATCTTAAAAGAAGGTTGGCAATTTGCAGTTTTGGGGCCTCTTTGAGGTTTTGGATGCTCTGTATCAGCTTGTCCTTTTACGTTCCTATTTTTGGATTTCTCCCTCTGTCCATTTAGCAATTTGTCTGGAGGTGAGGGCGTAGAACGTAAATGATATTCACCCGGGGATCCTTTTTGTCGGTTTGGCTTCATTTGTTCTTTGTCCACCTCTTTTTGAATCTGTAGTGCTAATAACCTGTCCTGTTCTTCTTGCTTATGTCTCTCAAAAAGTAGATGTTCCAAATCTAACAGTTTTTGAGTAAAGCTGGTTTCTGTTTCCTCTTGGTCTGAGGAAGATTCGGAGGACATTTTCCTTCTTTTTGCAGAAAAGCATGGATCCCTGACTGCTTCAAAAGAAGACTCCTGATTTTTTCTTTTGCAAATACCTTCTTCACTGATCAGTAGGCAAGACTCTTCATTTTCTGTCTCAACTGTGTTATTTCCAATTATCTGGGTCACATATGATAGAGCACACCCACTCTCTGTTTCGCCACAAGGCATAACTGCAGCTTCTCTAGGATAGGGGACTCTGGCTTCAGGTCTCTCAGGATTTATGGCACATAATTCTTTATCATGATTTTTTGGTCTCATTTTGACTTCTCCTTCAAGGCACCATTCTGTATCACTGGCACATAACTGAGGCATAGGTGACTCTATTGAAGACTTTGCACCTTGTTCTTGAATTTCAAGGTATATTTGCGGAGAAAGTGTTGGCATATCTTCCTCCACTTCTGTGTCTTGCCACATAGGGCTCTTTACATTGCTACTATCAGTTTCCTGGAGAAAACAGAAAAACACTCAGTCAACCAGAGTTATACATCAAGTCTTACATATGTCTTACACTGATACCATAGTTGAATGGTCACTATTAGGTAGTTCTTACTATCACTACTAATAAGGTATATTGATTTTAATAGCATTTTTATTGTGTGCCAGTTGAGATTAAGGCATTCCCTCATTTTTACTCCCATGAAAACCTACAGATTAAAATCCACAAACTAGCCCTAGCTGGTTTGGCTCAGTGGAGAGAGTGTCAGCCCGTGAACTGAAGGGTCCCGGGTTCAATTCTATTTAAGGGCACATACCTGGTTGCAGGCTCAATCCCTGGCCCTGGTTGGGGCGCATGTGGGAGGCAACCAATCGATGGGTCTCTCTCATATCGAAGTTTCTCTCTCTGTCTCTACCCCTTCCTTCCATGCTCTCTAAAAATCAATGGAAAGATATCCTCAGGTGAGGATTAACACCCCTTCCCCCCAAACTAGATTCTCTATATAGCCAATAGCTGGCACCATGACCTGACCTCTTTTTTTAAAAATATATTTTATTGACTTTTTACAGAGCGGAAGGGAGAGGGATAAAGAGTTAGAAACATCGATGAGAGAGAAACATCGATCAGCTGCCTCCTGCACACCCCTCACTGGGGATGTGTATGCAACCAAGGTACATGCCCTTGACCGGAATCGAACCTGGGACCCTTCAGTCCGCAGGCCAAAGCTCTATCCACTGAGCCAAAACAGTTAAGGCTCGGAGACTCTTAAGAGGGGCCCTAAAT